AAAAAAAAAAAAAAACCGGAAGACCCATGCTCCAAAAAGCGCAAATAACCGTGTGAAGAACAGCAGACCATGCTGTTACAAAAGGTAAAATATACGACAACATTGTATGGACGATAATGGAAATAAAAAATATGAAGGTGAATGGAACCCACGCAAAACCACGTGTTGTTTTTCCGTCAATCACGGCAAAAGTTGAAGCACAAGTGTTACATAAAGTTTTATTAGACTACTCACGAGGAACCTCATCTCGATCATCTCTGATCAAAAAGGAAAAATCTTAATTCATCCATCTCTTCCATAGTGTGCATATATTTAAGTTATCTTTCAATTTGATTTTTTTTTTTTTTGTTATGGCTTCATAGCATTTTACATTTTTAAATACTATGTATCCATGCTCCCTTCTTAAATGATATATAATAAAAAATAATATTACAAATTACACTACTTTTAATTATTAATAAAATGATGAACTCTTAATATCACAAAACTTTAATTCTTTATTAATAATTATAAAAACTACAAGTTTAGGTTTTTTTTATATAATATCTAATTAACTAGGACGATAATTAGTGCACATCAATTATATAAATGTATTAAATATATTATAAATAATAATAATATTTTAAAGTATAATTTGATTATAATATTTTAATTATTGACAGGGGAAGACGATGAGATAAATGAAAAGGCTCATTTTGATTGATCATATGAATGTAAGATTGATTTGAAGAGATTTTTAACTGAATTAACTATACTTTGATTGAAGTATAATTCAATTATAATATCTTAATTATTGGTAAGTAAAGATGAGATAACTGAAACGAGTCATTCTGAGGGGTGAGATGGAGGTAAGATTGATTTGTAGAGATTTCCAACTAAATTAATTATACCTTAACTGAAATATAATTTGATTATAATATCTTAATTATTGACAAGAAAAGAGAACTAAAATGCAGGGGTCCGATGGAGGTAAGAGTGATTTGAGCAGAGTCTCCATTAAATTAACTTACTGAAATACTTGTAATTTTTATTAATATCTTAAGGTTAAACCCCCATTTTGGCCCTCAACTATCGTACGGACCCCCGACTTAGTCCCTCAACTCAAAAAATCCCTGATTTGGTCACTACTGTTTACCATTTTGACCCCAATTTAGTCCCTCCGTTAAAAATCCATTAAAAATCTAGTGACGTGTCCTTAATTAACAAAAGTATGATGACATGTCAAAAATAAAATGACACCTCAAACGCACACCTGGAAAAAAAAGATGACAGGGCAGTATGATCTTCCATTCTGCCCCAAAACCAAACAAGGAAAAAAAGTGGGCCCCACCTCCTGCAAAGCCTGAACCCTTCTCACCCTTTCTTCCCTAAACCCATTCGAACCTAGAACAACAATGCTCTCTCCAGTTCTTCAACAAGCATCCACAGAAAAAAAAAAAAAGAATTTTTTTTATTTTTCCCAGTTCCGAGTTTCGAATCTTGCCTTGCCTTCTTCATCATCATCAACAAACCAAATCCACAGAAAAAAAAAAGAGAATTTTTTTAACTTTTTGCTCTTGGGTTCGATCCTGGGTTCGATCGAACCCAGGCAGCCTGGGTTTCGAACGAACCTAGGCAACCCAAGCAGCCTGGGTTCTGAACGAACCCAGGCTTTGGGTTTCCCAGGCATCCTGGGTTCGATCGAGACCTAGGCCCTGGGTTCCTTGGAACCCAGGACGCCTCGGTTCGAAGGAACCCAGTAGGCGCTGGGTTGCAAGGGGAAAAGAAAGGAAAAGAGAAGAAAAAAAAAAAAGAAATAATTTTTTAAGTTTTTTTATATATTATTTTTTTCCATGTCATCATTTTTTTTTATCGTGTTGTCATTTTTTTTTCAGGTATGCATCTGATGTGTCAAGTTATTTAGACACGTCATCATACTCCAATTAATTAACGGGAAATGTCACTGGATTTTTAACGGAGAGACTAAATTGGGGTTAAAATGATAAACAATAGGGACCAAATCAGGGATTTTTTGAGTTGAGGGACTAAGTCAGGGGTCTGTACGATGGTTGAGGGACCAAAATGAAGGTTTAACCATATCTTAATTATTCACTGGGGAAGATGATGAGATGACTGAAGATTCTCGTTTTGTAGAATTGAAAAAGAGCATTTGCAAAGGAGATTGGAATGCTGTTAAGCGGTTTTTTGTTTGTGATAAGCATCCACTAGGTACAATAATATTATCAGACGAAGGCCATACTGCTCTTCATGTTGCAATACAGGCCGGGCAAGATAAGATTGCCAAGAAACTGGTAAAGATGATGTCAGAAACAGATCTGGAAATCAAGACTAAAAATTTACGTCACACGTTTCTTACCCTAGTTGCGTCGACGGGAAGAACAGACGTGGCAAAATGCATTGTCAAAAGGAGAAAGAAATTACTTACCGTTCGATGTAAAGAAGGCCGTATCCCAGTAACCGTCGCATGTTCTATGGGCCACAAGGAGATGACACACTACCTTTATTCTGTGACCCCGCCCGAAGTATTTCGACCACAAAATGGCAACCATGGATTCCATCTCATGCGGTGGGGTACAGATAACAAAATGGTAGTCGTCTAATCAAACGTTTTTTATTTTATATGTGTCGAGTGTTAGGGATCCAAGGTGCATGAGAGGGAGGAGTTAGTGGCCGGGCCCACTGCGTCCACTAGCTACACTAGGCACTAGAGTCTAGGGGCACATGTCCTATTCAGAAAATTTTTTAAATTATATATAACATTATTTAAAAATAAATCTCTAAATTTAAATTTAAATAAAAGTTTTACTTGTTTCGAAATATTTTACACAAATAGTTTTATAATATTATATTTAAAAGTGTAAAATTATTTTTTTAAATTTATTTTATTTTATATTTTAGATATTTTTATTAATATTAATTAATATTTTATATATTTTGAGATTAAAAAAAAAAAAAAGGCCTTGCGCAACCCAGCAGTCCTCAACGAAGCCCTTAGTTTCTTAATTTTATGATTTTGCTTTCAACTGAGCACGTACTAAAATTTTTCACGTAACTAGGTTGATCATAATTCATTTGTTTAAATATATTTCTACTGGAGTGGAGTGACTGGTTTTAACTTTTTTCCTTGTTACTTATAAACCAGACATTTGTTTGGATCTACTTCGGCAGAACCCAGACTTGTCTGTTACTACAGGCAACACGTTGCGGGAATCTCCTGTTCTTAAATTGTCACGTCAACCTTCAATATTCTTTACGGAATGTAGGCTTCGATTTTGGCAAATATGGATTTATCACAGTGAGTACGAATTCCCTTCAATTTCATATTTTAATCTTTAAATTTTATTCTTTTTTGGCTAAATATATTGATTGAATCGATCCATTTGCTGTGTATATGTGTATTGACGGGTGAAAGGTAAAGTCACCCATGACTTCATCCGGTGAAGTACGAATTCTTGTTACCCATAACCAAGATTTTAAAAAAAGAAACACCAGTATACAAGGTATTTGTACATATCTAAGTTAATTACACTATTAATTTATGACTACGGTTTTATAGACCTAGTTTTTTTTTTTTTTTTGGTTTTA